AAACCTAAAGATGTAGTCTATTTGTTAGTTGTGCCAGCACGAGGTTTCGGCGAAGCTTTATTAGTAGACCGGGCACAACTAACAAATAGACTACATCATTGTAATGCCGAGGTTCAAAGAAAAGAGGACATTCAAGCTACAAATCTAAAGAGTTTTACCTCTTCTGAATGGTGTGTTACATGCTTAAAGGCGGATTTTGTGTTTATGTAATTTAAGGAAATTCCCAAAAAACTTCGCCCGTTTTTGCAACACTTTAAAGGTTGCTGGAGAGGAGCAGCAGAATACTGCTAGAACCTCAGGCAAAGGCACTTATGCGCCATGTAAATATGCTTTGCCACAAAACAAGCAATGCTTGAAAGAAAACTTATGAGGTGCAAGAAAATGAAGTGCCTCAGTAATTTTCGACCACCTTGACTTCAATCGTATCTGAACCGCTCTTCTACTTCTTACAAAGATCACAGAAACATATCTGAGTGGAATTTGCTCTCAGATCTCGATCATTGCGAACACGTTTCCCTCTCCCCCCCCCCCTCTTTTTAGCTATGACGTATGCATCAATAGTTCAAATGACTTACTAACCGCTGCTAAGATCCTGAAAAGGGATTTTCAGTAGGGCAAGAATAATTTTCTAGAAAGATTTCTAAGAGTTTTTTTGTCTGGCGTCTTTTCGCAAGGATGTAATGCAATGCAATCACACATAAAAGATTTAAATAAGCACTATTCGATAGTGACGTTCCGTAGATTACCGTGTGTTAACAATCAGCTGGAGACCCTTTTTCTAAAAGTGATAGAAGAGCTGGTGCTGGAAAAATGATGTCGTTTCAAATTCTACTCACCATAACCCTAAAACATGGAGCTCTTCTGCTAAGCAGTTGAGTTTAATAATCAGCAAGTCGCACTCTTCGAGCAAGTTTACCGGAAAGTTTGGGTCGTTTCAGTTTCGCTCTTAAGCTGATGATGGATTGGTCCAAATGTCGATGATCTTGAATTCTAATGAAACTTCGCACATAAAGGTTTCCAGACATGCTCTTTACAAAAATCATGGTCTTTGTGGAGTTCTGGGTCATTTAGCAGAGATATGGTGGGGGACTGTAGCTAAGTCATGAAAGTTCGTAAATTCTTCTACGCTTTTCGCGTAGCTGCCAGATAAGTTGCCTGTTTGCAATCATATTGAACTAGAAACCGTGCTATCAAAGGTGCATGCCTCAGGCCCCATTCTATAGTAGTCGTCGAGTTGCGATACCAAGTCACCTCCTCTTGAGTATTGCTTAAAACGCGAAGATCGCATGCTTTGCCGAAATTCCATCTGAGTGCATAACACGCTGATTGCAAATTTTCTGTTCACTGAAGAGATCTTACCCTTTGATAATGTAGTTGGAGTTAGTGGTTCTTACATTCCTAGTTCGACATCAAAGCAGCTTCGTTGCTTAAGCGATTTATCTGACTACAGTATCGAACAGGATCCAAGCGAAGTGAACATGAAATTTGCAATCAGTGCGTTATGGAAGCGCTCAGACGAAATTTTGAGGAAGTGTGCGATGTCTAGGTTTCATGCAATATTCATGAGGACATGACTGATTGGGTAAGCTCGCAACTCGGCAACTGTTATAGAATTGAGCCTGAGACATGCACATTTTGATAGCACGGTTTATAATGACTTTAACATATGATCACAAACAAGCAAATGCTCTGGCAGCTATGCGAAACGTAGAAAAATTTACGAACTTTCGCGGTGTAGCTACAGCTACTTATCATATCTCTGGTACTCCGCAAAGACCATGATTCTCGTAGACAGAGGGTGCGGAAACCTTTATGAGCGAAATTTTCTTACAATCCAAGATCATGAACACTTTGAACAAAGTCCACTCTAGCTCCAAAGCGCAGAGAGAAAATGAAATGACCCGAACCTTCGGAAAACTTGTTTGTAGAGGCTATTAGACCTGCTGATTACGAGTATTACATTGCTTAGCAGGAGAGCTACATGTAAGGTTATGGTGAGTAGAATCTGGAACGACATTATATTTTCGGCACCAGCTCCTCATCTCTTTTAGAAAGAAGTCTCCAGCTGCTCCAAGCACGATAAACTACGGAAATAACATCATCGGATAGTGACTACTGGAATCTTTTATGTGTGATGTGCGTTGCGTTACATCCTCACGAAAAAAAAGCTTGCGGAAATATTTGCGAAAACTGGAAATGGAATAAATATCAAGGACATGCTGTATAGCAGAAAATATGCCTTGACGAGCCGAGCACACTTTTCGAAGAAAGTTAAGGTGCTGCGTAGTTTGCGTAACTTGCAAACTGGTCAATTGCGTGTTTTCGCGAATTGCTTGAAATTTGCGGATTTTTTGGAGTGTCGCGGAATTCCAGGTGTGTCGCGGACTTCCGCGGAAATCTTGATATTCCGCGACATTCATCAAAATTTTACACTCTGTGAGCGGTAATGTATGCATACTACCTGCACGCTTGTAGTTCCTTTGAGCCCTCTTTCATATATACTGTCCCCCTCAAAATTTAGAAACTTAGTCTCACTTTTCGCAGTGCGATTATCCTCAGTTTTTCTTATTAGTCTATTTCAAACTCTCAAATACCAAAAAGAAGCAAATCTCAGGAGTAATGTCGAGTGAAATCACTATCACAGCGCATAAGCAGCTCACTACTCACGTAATAGGCGCCATTTTCTTAATCTATGAAGAAAGTAAAAGTGCGTGTTATTGCTTGATTTACATAAATGAAGATCTTGAAAAAACGCTGTGTACTTTATTAGCGCAGAATGTTGTGCTATTTTGATGCCTATAAAAGCTCTCCTTCCTCAAATCTATTCTATACACCAGCAGTGTCTTCTGCTAAACGGTTCGCTTGAAAACAGCTATAACCACTGTCAATTTTTCATAACATTAAATTATTCAGTAACTGAAATTAAGAGGAAAATTTTCGTGCCCGGAAATATTTGGATCAGTGCATCTATTCTCGCTAAAAACCAAAATCTCTTCTTAGAAGAAATTTCTGGACCCTAAACTACACCCTCACATAGTGAATGCATAAACTACATAAACAATATTTATGCGCACACTTTCTATATACAGGGTGTCCCAAAAAATGTGAACACTGTTTGATTGTTAATAACTCCCTTGCTTTCATGTCTTTCGCCGAGCTTGAGGCACTGTTCTATAAAGCGAGGTTTAGCTTAAATTTACAGTATGGAGCGAATCATCGATCACTCTTCATTACTGTAGGATTACGGTAGGAACTTCGACAAGGATTTTAGGCCATTGGAGGCCATATTCTGCCTCGGAACAAGACCAAACAAGCCAAAAACTTTTATACTATGGTAAGCCGCTGATTTCGAATATGAAATTTCCACTTTACTGTAAAGCTTCTTCCCAAGGTTATCTCAGGTAAACCGTAATAACTGAGTTTTCAGCATTTGCCAAAAATGTGACTACACCGTCAAAAAAAGCTAACAACACTCGCAAAAAGTTGTGTAATGAAATCAGGGCGCACGAAAACCCTAGTACACGATTTTTCAGATCTTCTAAAAAGTTTTTGTCAAATGGCATGTTTCTCAATAGATCCACATGCTAGAAGTTCATACCGCAATCTTACAGTAATGAAGAGCGGTTTACGATTCGCTCCATTCTTGAATCTGAGCTAAACCTCGCTCTACAGAGTGGTGGCACGAGCTCGGCGAAAGACGTGAAAGCAACGGAGTTATTAAAGGTCAAACAGTGTTCACATTTTTTTGGGACACCCTGTATTTTTCCAGCAGGATGAACAGAGCTATTCAAAAGTGGGTAACGTTGCTTTCAGCCATTTTAAGTGTCTCTCACAAATGTAATTATAGATGTACCTTTTTACCTTTACAATAATAACTCCTACTTTCCTTTAACAACTTTGGTAAACAAATGATAACTTTTAGCACATGCCTAAAAAAGTGACGCCATTTTTCAAAAAATCTAGTGAAAAAAATTATTGATTTGATCATTCTATTGTAGGCAATGCAGCATAATTTTGCATTTTTCTGCGAAATATTAGCTCGTTTCGAAAGTTCTGTTTGTTTTGTTTCATTTTCAACAATTTGTAACTTTGCGTTACCTCAACGGATTTACTTGTTTGTAATAGGATTAGAAAGAACATGTTTTCGCTTTCGAACACTTTATTTCTCATTTTCTGTTTCTCACTGACGGCAGAGGTAAAATTGAGAAAGATAGACCATGTAAGCTTTGACCATTTCAAACTAGGTCACCAATTTTATTTCTGCCGTCAGTATTTGAGAGAAACTCGCTGAGATAATACTACGAAGTAGAAGGTTTCTAAATTATAGCGAAGCAAATCTGTTCAAACAGCGAAGAGTTAGGATTTTTTACGAAACGACAGAACTTTCAAAACCGACCCAATAGATGCAAATGCATCCGTCTAGACAAGAACTTCCATGCTCCTCTTCTTACCCAAAAGCTTTGAATGTTTTGTAGCAGTTTTTTGCAGAAATCTTCAAAACAGAGCGGTACATGCCTAATGTTGGTTTTACAAAGCGTTTGGAAGATTTTTGATTCCGAAATTTTGTTTCTATTTTCTCATGGTCACCTTGTTGGCCATGAGTACTCAACCGACCCCATTGGGACAAAAAAGACGGTAAAGAACAAATCAACATGGAAAGTGCAATATTGTTACGAATATTATTATTTCTGATAACTGATTCACATTGTTTTCTTCAAGAATTTCAGATTTGAGAATCTTTCCAATTTCCTCTTAAGCATTTTGGTGCTTGACATCTTCCAAAGAAATTCTTAATTCTATCCATTTCTTGTTAACTCTACATATTTCTAAAATTTAGAATTATTTTCCATTTTCGTCTGTTTGATTGCTTAGTAATTGTACGTACATACTATCCATCCCCTTCCTCATACCTGATTATCCTCTACGTCTCGTCGTCGTCTCACCTTTCTTGTCTCTCCAAAATAATTCATTCCATCCCCCAGATGTACGAGTTTTCCAGGATGCGGCTGCTTGTTCTGTTAGCGCTGCTCGAATTTGCCATAGGAGCACCAAGGGAAAAGCGTCAAACACCAAGTGAGAAAATACAATCAAACTTTACTGCTGATGTGAACTTCAAGCTCCGCCCACCTGACTAGATGCTTATTTTCAGCTGAACTTTCTAACATTCCACAAGCACTCAGCAATGCACCTCCTGGCGAACATTTCTTAAGACATGCTCTATTTATTCCTCGTGGACTAGAGCCTCAGGGTAAATACTTCGGGAATCTATCGTGTTGTGTGTGCTTAAATTCAACACTTAACAGCTTACTTAATTTTGCTGGCACGCTCGCAATGGGCGTAGCAGTCCCAGGGCATTCTCTGAGAGTGTTTCGCCCATGTTCCATGCACAACGACTAACAGTTGCACTATATGCAGGCTTTGATCCCACGAAACCCATCCAAGGTGCGTACTTCATTGGTGGTGACCAACAGTTCAATATACCACCGCAGTTCCGTATTCCTCAACGACAACTGCGTAAGTTATTGGCAGCAATTATTAGCTATCCTTTGTGCATGGGCAGAGACATCTATTGCAATTGTACATGCTAGTAGTAATTGTAGTGGTGATGACAACATTCGCACAAAATTAAATATCATGCCGACAGCTTGCTTGCGATTTGCGCGCAAAAAGTGGCCGTGAAGAGCCAGCTTTGTTGTCATTGCATACGCGCTATAACAGCCATCAGATACAATAGCTTATGAGTGCATTTGAGCTTGCACACTTAAAACTTTTGTCTTCTCGTAAGCGAAACAGGGCAAAACTTCGACAGAAACTCTCGCTTGCACCGCACACTTGCATGTGTTCTCTCTTTCATCTATTGTACAGTACAACCCATGACCGGAGCTCTGATGTTATTATAATTAGCCTTTATACAGCGCACGTGCTCGTCCATTGTGTTGTGTTTAGCGGTGCAGAATCGTACGGTTCCTCTACCGGCTCCAGAGCCACTGACCGAAACATCGACTGCCGATACTTCGGCAACATCTACTGCACCCGCACCCACTATCGCTAACACTCTGCCAGAAACGCCAGCTGAACAGCGCGCAGCAGATACAACCGAGGCACAGAAGGTGACATTAACGCCAGTTAATGTCGACGAGCTCGTTACGACTACTCCCACCTCACCTCAAACACTCCCGGTTGTCGTGGAGCAGAGCACCGGTAATGCACTTTTTGTCGTTTGTTGTGTAGTTTTTGTGGCTTTTTAAGGGTTACTCAGTGTGAACAGGGTGATCTTGGTAACCGCAGGTATGAAAACATGTTGGGAAGCCCTAACTGAACCAGTGCCCCAACTAAAGCGTATATAGTTACTTGTAATTGGATGGCGCCTTTGAATTCTCGTTCGTAAGGGTAATGAGTACGGTGCTGGGTTAATTTAGCATGGATTTCTCCAGCGCTTGAGTATCGGCCTAGCTGAGGCCTTATGCAGTTTGAGCACCTCATCCAGACCTCACTCAGGACCAGAATATGCAAATATAACCAATACCTTACGGCCAATAGGTTGACATAGAAGCGTAGATATGTGTTCAAAACATTTTAAGAACTAATGAAATTAAGTCGTCATTTTAGCACCATCGTCGTCCCCACAGCCACTCCCAGTAGATCCAAATCTTCCACCTGTTGATAAAAGCGTAGATCTAGACGGTGATGGGCGCCTTAGCCTTCCTGAGGTACAATATGCAGCCTTTGTGCACCATGGCCTATCGAGCAATGTAGTAAAAGGAATGTTCAACGAGGTTGGAATTGAGCCATTCCATAAAAAAAATAACGAATGATAACAAAATGCTCATGCTGTGCAGGTCGATAGCAACAAGGACGGGTACTTAAATTCGTTTGAATTCAATGATATCCGCGCTATGGTGTTAGCAAAAGCCGAGAATGCTGCTATGCGGTACATGCAGGTACGAAGTGCCGTGTCCTCTTCTGATATATTAATTTTTGAACATTGAAAATTTAGAGCGTAGATACTGACAAGAACAAGATGCTTTCATTGGAAGAAGCTCAAGCATATATTCTCAGGGAACATGGAATAGGTCTGCATATTATATCGACGTCTTTTTGTTCTAGTTGACCGCACCCCTGATTCAGGATCACGAGATGTTGAGCGCGTTTGGAAACTGGTGCTTCCGGATACCACCGCTGAGATGGACGCCGTCCAATTTAGCAAACTGAGACGTAGAATTCGTGGAATGACCATAAGATTAGCCAGACAGATTATGAAGGCAAGAGCCAATCATGGCTAAGATTGATAAATTGATATCGATCTGGCCATCTTGACGTAGTCATTTGATCATTGTTTTAGATTGCTGACACAAACGCCGATGGTCATATCTCTTTAGATGAAGCACAGGCTATAGCTTTTGAACAAGAAGGAATCGGAGCAGGTGATATCTAAAAGAAAAGGCAAAGATTTATCGAAAATCAGTGCATCGATTTATAGGCGATGTTGCACAAATGTTCGCCAGTGTCGATGATAACAACGATGGTGAACTGAATGCACCAGAATTTGCCGACTTTGAGCGAATTGTACGCGCAAGGGCTGTCGAAACAAGCAAAAAGGCACTCAGGGTACGTATTGGCACGATTAATAATCCATTTGACTGCGTTGTTAGTTAATAATATGGTAATATAATATAGTGACACGAGGAGGTTCACTGTTCAACGTACATATCGTAGTGAAATAGATTACGGTAGGTACCAAAGCCGTAACTTCCTGATTGAGATTTATAAAACCTGGCAGCTTTCAATCGTATCAACCTCCTGTCTCGTGGCTTGAAGCGGGTATCGCAATAGATTCACCCTACCTAAGCTTTGAAATAACGCAGGATCTTCAAATGTCTTACACGCTTACTTGCGAGGGCAAATTCAGGATAAGTTCGAGCTTCGCTTAACAGTACACATTATTACTTACTAACAAGGGAAGGATGCCGAGTAACACCACCATTATCAACACGAGTATATGTCAAGAATAACAGTAGCTGGCAATAGGCGCCTTGAGTGCCCGGGTGTCAACAAGCGGTGTACCGGTAGCATCGCCCCCTAGCAGGAGCTAACGCAGATAGTAAAATTGTAGCTATACGCCCTAACGTTATGTTTCTTTAACATTGCTTTTTGTTATCGTTTCTGATATATTACTCACATGGAGATCACCGTCAATTACCTTACTGTTCGCATGGCTGGTAAACATTTAAGCTCAATTCAGCATGTGAAATGCATAAAATCACTACGACTAGTGTGGGAAGTAAAATTCAATGAAAGAGGAAGTGGAATTTGAATTTTTTTACCCGCTTTCTAGAATAGTGAAGGCGGGCTGTTCTGCACTCGCGAGCAGTTGGCAGCTGACGGCCAGCAGAGCTATCGTGATCTTGACCGCTACCCTCATCAACACCACTACCCCCTTTGCCAAGTATTGACCTGTTGACGTTTTGCAACTACTTTTATGACTTCTCTCTTTGCATATGACACACTCAAATTCTTCCATCATGTAAGTAGTGATGTAAGCTACAAGGGCAGTCACAGTTCTGCAAAATTCTGAATTCGCAGTAATGATTGCGGTAGATCTATGGTACAGGGAGAAAAATCATAGATTATTACACATTTGGCTAAAACTTTGCGTAGGTGGGTTATCTGAAATGCTGATCACGAAAAGATATTGGTTTCGCATAAAGGAGGCTTTTTTGTAAGGCTACAGTGGGTTTACGGTACGGGGTGTCCTCTAAAAGAGGAGTCCATTTAACCAACGAGTATGATATTCTTATCTGGCAAGGAATAAGCTCACCATGCAAGGTTTTCACAAACTCTGAGACTTCGACTCCTCAGTGAATGACGCTTGTCCCTAAGTAGCCTCACTACAGGGGCTCTTTGAAATTCAACATAGTAATATATTCACTGCTGTACATGGCAGTCCGACACTCAGTGTCGCTCCTACGACACCTTGAGGCGATAGACAGTAGTAGGAAATGCATATATTAAATCGTCAACCTATTGCTTCAAACGTGGTCCAGGAAGCTACCCTTTGATTCAGTGGAATTGGCGGTTGGAAGGCGGACTTCGATTCTAATCAAGGCTAGGAAATGAGAGAGCACGCTTGCGAGAAAGACAAAGACTGCCCGCGGGTGGTTGCCTTTCAGTTGAATCAAGAAGTACAGTATAATATCTGTGTTTTCGAAATTTTCACCTTGTTGGCTACAGCTGCCACTCAAGCATCCTTCAATTTCCTTTTAATGGAACTCATACATGTCGCCTGTCTCTTGGGTTATCGTAAAATTGCAAGAATGGCCATTTACGAGAAAAATTCAACGCTTAAAATGAAAGAACATCTGTAGCGATAGTATTGTCAGCGAAATGCAATTGTGACAGTTTAACAAACTATCTTTCACAGTATTGAAAAAAACATTGAAAAGTTTATGAATTATGAGTTTTGCACACCACTAAGCCAGCGGCGGAGGGTGCACTGATTTGAATTTTGAAGAAATGAAGAAATGTATGAAGACAATTTGCACATGAGTTTGAATTCGATATATATAATCGATATGTATATATATTTAGGTAGTGGATACTGATGCTAGCAACACTCTTACGATGGACGAGGCCAAGAGAATTGCTTTCGAACATTACGGATTTGATGAAAATGTAGATTTTGAATTTTATGTTCTCCTTTGTTATATTCTGTTACATTCTATGAAATTTAGGTACTCACACCATTCTTCGATCAAGCTGATGAAAATGAGGATGGCCATTTAGATGCCGTAGAATTTGCAGGATTCCGCTCTGTTATACGTAGTAAAGCTGTTAGAAATGCTGTTCAAGTGTTGAAGGTTGGCGTACCTGGTATTTACAGTTCCTTTCGCAATCCCTCCTTTCCTATCCAAAGAACTGAATATTGAACTTAGGAAATTGATACGGATAATGACGGCCTTATCAGTCTGGCTGAAGCTCAAGAGAAGACGAAGCGTGAAGATGATATGGAGCCACATGAGACTGTCACGCTATTCAACATCGCCGATCAGGTAAAAATATATCGTATTTGATAACCCTCCTATTACTACTTAAGAACAAAAGCGGCAAACTTGACAAGGTGGAATTGGCAGATTTCATTCGTCTCGTGCGCCTCAGTGCAATTCGCTTCGCTACGGATCATTTTAAGGTACTATTAATTTTTCAATCAATGCAGGTGATCACTGGTCTCTCATAGGAGTTTGATTCGAATCGCGATCGTCTCGTTACTGTTGATGAGTTGGCGCACTTGATTGAAGCAAAGTATCACGTACCTTTTGACGTGACCAAAGAGTTTTTCAACAAGGTACAAATGGCTTCTCCACATCCCTTCCCCCCCCCCCCGCCCCCATCTGATCCATCCATATCGCTCCTAATTATCTATTAACCATGTCCAGTTGATAGTCTTTGACCAAACAACGTTTACTTTTAGGTTGACGTCGATGCCTCGGGTGACCTTATTCCAGCCGAAATTGTCGATTTTCGGTAGGTCGCAGTCCACAGCTGTACCTTTCCTCCTCCCCAAATCGAAAAAGCGAGTACCTAATTTCAGCCATGAGATTCGCAAGTATGTCGCCCAGCATCCGTTACCAGTTTCACCTGAAGAGGAAGTGACTACATCTAAGCAAGAGTCGCCAAAGCAGACAAATCGTGTTCGTGATCTAAATTGATCGACCGATGACTCGATTGCAAGCACCGTTATCCTTTGATCCACTCGATTGAGCCTCTCATGTCATTATGAGTGCGCAGTGATTTTGTGTACATACAGCGATGTTATCGTAACGTTATAATAAAAGAACTAGCGAGCAAAGGCAATCTTGCCTGCATAAGTTTTACTCAGCACATTTTCTAGCACAACTTTCACCGCGCACTTGCATTTATGCATAGTTTCACATCTATCGCATGTCACCTCTTTAAGCCTATCCACACCCTTTCAGAGACAATTGGCGAAAAATATAGAAGACATTGTCCTCACCACCACTCCTGCACCTCCTCCACCTACTACTTCCACCATCACCACCACCACCATTACCACCACCGCCACAACCACCACCACTACTCAGAGCACTACACCACGTAGTACAACAAGGAGACGCACCACAAGACGGCAAACAACAACTACCTCTGAAGCTCCGTCCACTCCTGCTGAGATTTTCACTCAGGTACAGAGTTTTGCGATTATTCTATATGAATTGTTTTGCATACTTCCTGTCTTGCATTAGATCTCATACTAACTCAAAATCACAAGTTCGGACGAACTACTTGGCAACGCTCAAAGATATTAAGCATAATTGCAGACTCAGTTTCTAGTACTAACAAAGGAGCCTTATACTATGTTCTTACTTATTTTCAAGATGAGCGCCTGCCCTAATCCCTAATCCGGCTGCACTTCGCCGCTAAAAAGTTGTTGCTACTGACGAGTTGATCAAATGCTTTTGAAGTTTGTCAATAACACCATTTTTTGGATCTTAGAACGATCCACCTACTCAGACAATCGCTGGGGGCAGGCGGGCACCGGAAAAATAGATTGCTGATTTCTCGCACCCCGCTCGCGGATTGTTTGCAAAGCAATCAGGACTTTTCGGAAGACCGCTGCTGAGTCAGCGGATTTTTGAGAGACCGCCTGTTGAATTTTTTTTCGCTCTTATCTTTTGCAGATATATTGCTGAATCTCTGAGGAATCGAGAACTCAGCAAGCGGTCTTCCGAAAAGTCGTGATTGCTTTCCAAAAAATCCGCGAGCGGGGTGCGAAAGATCAGCAATCTATTTCTCCGGTGCCCGCCTGCTCCCGGCGATTGTCTGAGTAATTGGGATGAAGAGGAGCAAAGGTGCGATAATCCAGGAACTAAGTAAAGCAATCAAATAATCACCAATCCGATCACCAATGCAAATAAAAAATGAAACAAACTTTGCGGTAAAACATCTTTTAGGTCAAACTGGTATTAGATTTCGCAACAGCGCTCAAAGCATGTTGGGAGGGAAGAAGGAGAGGTAGGGGAAGGGGGGGGGGAGAAGAAGAGTGGATGGCAGAGGAATGTTTCGCATCTCAAAGAATATTTTTATGAACGGAAGTTTCTCTTCACAAATGAGCAAATTCTTCAAATCCTTTTTCAAATCATAAAATTTATCGAAAAAAATTTTCGTTCTCGTTTAACTAGTACCACAGATGTCTCCAACTTAAAATGCTTCTCTTGGCCAATTTCAAGGAAACACTCAATATTGCGCTTCTTTTTTGAAGACCTTGGGTCACCAAACCTTTCCTAAAATCTACACGGCCTCGTCAAAATAGATATTAACAGGTATGATCGAAATATTCGTGTTGTAAAAAAACTTTTTCTTGCAACTTTTAAGTATCTATAACTGCCGAAGCTACCAAACTTCTTGGATCCTGCAATTAATAAGTTTTGTCTCAACTAATCCTGTCCCATAGACCATTGCTTACAATTCTTAATTCAACACTAACCACTTTCATGCACCTATAATTTCCACTGCACAGAGCGCACCAAGCACACCAAGCACATCAAGCACACAAAGCACGCAGATTACTGCTTTTCCCACGCTTCTACCAAGCACACGTCGTAAGGTCACCTTCCGCAAGCACAGCACATTAATTCCACAGGTAAATTCTTACCGTTTTACTGACTTTTATGGTAGCTATGAGATGAACAACATAATTTCTAGCTTGTTATCAATAGAAAACCACGGATAGGCAATGAATAAAAGAAAACGTTTCTTACCTTAGCGCCTCAAGTTTGTGAAATGAGAATTTCGAAAAAAAAGGAAAATACCAATATTACTTCTCTTGTTTCTGACTGTGATTAGCTGCAACGATCCTCTCTTCTTTGAGTCCCAGGATTTGGACGTTTTTGGACGTTTTGCGCGTTCTTGTACCGCAAAAGAAAGTGTGCCTTGGTGCCCTGCAAGGTACTCACAAACAGCTTACGGGATTTTGTCTGCTTCTCCTCTACTGCATTTATCGGCAGTATTTTGATCTAACCGTAACACCCGGACTGTCTGCTCGACTTGCCATCTCAAAGTATTGAAAGGCGGGAGTTCGCAAAGTCAACATGAAGCTAATTTGAAGAATTTATCTGAAAGTAACTGAGCTGAGTGGTGATTCACTACGGGCCGCAGTGTAACTTGGGTGTCTTGCTATGGCCTAACTGATCATAACAAAACACTCTTTTTGTGTATTTTGAATTCTTCGATTGTATTAGAAATGTTCCCAAAGTCTCTGCAAACACTTCGGACCGGTACGTTGACATTACTACTTGCACCTTGGCACTTTCATTTTGCTTCATCCTCTTTTTACCACACGACAAACGTGCAACAGCCCTCTCTGTATTGCAAAAAATGTCCTAAGTAATGATTTAAGTGGTAACCTCAGAAAACGGTTGGTTTTAAATAGAATGCATGTCAGCAGCTTCATAAACGTGCATTATTCATGCCAACGAAAATCAGCAGGTTGGCAAAATTGAGTCATTTTATTAAGTGGAATTGGGGTACTCCAATACAAGTAATATTGAACTAAGGAGTGTTAAAAATCAAATAACAGTTACTTTACAAGAAGGAAAAACTTTGTATTATTGTCATTCAAAGAAAAATCCGCAAAATATTGACAGCTTTGAAAGCATCGTTTTTAACATAGAATTCATTTAACGCAAATCTTCCGAACTGTTATCCAGTACATTGTTAGACAAAGAAGCAGACACTGTATGTGTTTTGTTGAATGAAAAGCGAGTGCGCATTCTTTACAATATTGCCTATGCAGCAGTTCATACAAAACGTTTTATTGCTGCAATTCAACTTCGAGCTCCACAGCCCAGACCGTTATTCTTCTAGAGGAAAAATCAGGTACGGTATAAGAATGCGATTTGTGCTAGTGTTTTAAACTGCTTTCCTGTCCATAAAAGAATTATTTGAGCTGAATTTAGTCAACTGCTTAACGAAGTTACTTACTTATCACATTGCAATTTCAGGTATGTACTTAGGTTTGCTTGGACGTTGCCTTTCATAAGCAAGTGTTATTAGATATATTTTCAACTAATTTTGAGAAAAACAAATAAGGCGCTACATTTCAATGTTATATGACTTTCTTACCTTATATCAAGGTTTTGGCATTTGTTCTTTCTTCCTTCGTTTTCATCCCATATGAACAACAGCACTTGTGTTAACCGAGATGATAACGGAGCAACCCTTCTGCGGAAAGATAGGTAGACGCCAGACTAACCAACTGCATGCTTTAGCAGGACGCGCATTTGACTGTTTTCATCTAGCGACACGTTGGACGAAAATCGAGGTGGCGCCTGAGATATACGCAACAGCTGTAGTATTAGGAAGAAGATAAACAGTTTCGCAGTATGAAAGAATGATAAAAAGGCCTTACCAGTGAAAAAATTTTTGTTGTATCGAAATCACGGAAGCCGACTTAATTTTTCCAACATGACACCAAGTTACATAACTGTACCTAGTCCTGCTGAAGCAGGACGATCTGCTAGTTTGGCGCCTGTTACACCAAAATGTCACGAGTAGCATTCAAAATATCAGGTTTCATGATTTCTTGCAATTTCTACTATCGTAATAAGTCATATATTAGGTTGTCCCGAAAGTTTTATCAGTTTTTTTTTCAAACCGCTCTGAAACCACGCACAATAAAGACCTGAACAAGTCCCAACATGCATTCGATACAGCTTTTCCTTCTCTTTCTTGTAGACACATTTTCGAACCAAAATCTCTTTGCTTTTCTTGATAATTGCCAAAATTCTCCACCCGTCAATTTTATATAGTCAAAGTAAGCTAATTTTTGAAAATTTCGTCCCAAAGTTTTGGAAAGCATTAGATATAAATCAAATAGAGCAATCCTCGGACTACAAGCCAATATTTTTGGCCTTTCCTAATCTGCTGTTTTTAACTTCAAAAAATTGATTCTTTGGAAGTCTCGATTTTTGGCAAAGTCATGAAACACGCAACTGCAGCAAATAGATTAAAGCTTTTAAAATTATTGCGAACTGAAACTTATCAAACATTATTTATGCAACATAACCAAGCTTGATTTGCTTTGAAAAAGCTGCTTTTGAATTTTCGATGCATTTAAGTGGTAAACGTAATCAAAAAGCCGCAATTTTTCTTAAATAGATAATTCTAACAAACTTGGCAAATGTCGCCCATGTCATCAAAATGAGTACAATGTAGTCAAAGGTTTGTTCTACATAACGTACGTTAGGAAAAAGATCTTCAAAATTCAGGAAGAATTTGGTGTTACTACTGAGCTGCTTAAAAAGCCATGGCAATAACACTGCAAAGACAGGGTAGATAAAAGCAAGTATAACTGTAAGGAAGAGTATAAAAATTTGAATTAAATGGTACCTAAGCCGCCCATGGATTGGTGTTCCGTGAATTTTGGTGAGCGATAAAAAAACCGACAGAACTTTTGGGGCAACTGAACACTCACTTTTTCTTTCTTTCTACTGATAATTACCAGAACAGCAATCGACAAAACAAGCAAGCTCCACTTGTTGAAATGTAGACTCTATCACAGCTTGGTTTTATAACGCTCATATCGAACAAGGAAGTTCTAGGCGACCAAAAATTACAAATTTTGTGTCTTTTTCCAGGAAAATTCCGCGGGTTTCTTACTCCACCACGCATATGATTTCCGCATCAAACAATCATAGATATCGTTGCTGTAGTTTTTCTCTGAACACGTTAAGAAAGCAAAAAATCTCCATGGTCTTGCAAAAGCGAAGCTAATTTGTTCTCACAAAAGTAACTGTAAACTTCAGTCCTTTGAAAGCCCCTCAGTTTCTGGCTTTTTAAACCTCTATGCGAGACGTATAGATTTCAGCATAAGGCACCTGCTCAGACAATCGCCGGGGACAGGCGGGCAACGGAAAAATAGATTGCTGATCTCTCGCACCCCGCTCGCTGATTTTTTGGAAAGCAATCAGGACTTTTCGGAAGACCGCTTGCTGAGTCAGCGGATTTTTGAGAGACCGCCAGTTGAAATTTTTTTCGCTCTTATCTTTTGCAGATATATTGCTGAATCTCTGAGGAATCGAGAACTCAGCAAGCGGTCTTCCGAAAAGTCCTGATTGCTTTGCAAAAAATCTGCGAGCGGGGTGCGAGAAATCAGCAATCTATTTTTCCGGTGCCCGCCTGCCCC